TCGATGTACAATGAATCAAGGGGTAGGAAACGTGTGTTTTCCTACTAGGGTGTGGGTGTGTGGGTGAGTATGGATGCGTGGGTGGGTGTGGGTGTCGGTGGGGTGTGGGGTGTGGGTGTGGGGTGTGTGGGGTGTGTGGGTGAGTGTGGGTGTGTGGGTGGGTTTGGGTGTCGGTAGGGTGTGGATGTGGGTATAGGTATGTGGGGTGTGGGTGTGGGCAGCAATGTCAAAGGTCCAAAAAATGTCCACTTTACCTAAAGTCCGCTAAGAATATATGGGACTTTGCATACCTAATGAAATAACATGTATAACAGTAGTTATAGAAAAAGCAAAATATAAATACTCCAGCAGCAGATATTTCTTTCTTCCAGCGGACTTTTCTGTTCTGTAAAGGAGTTTTCCTTTCATATGAATTGATTCATTCAGATAGATATAAAAGACATGAATAAATATAGATCAAACAGATAAATCTATTATATATGTGCATGATGGACAAGAGGATATTTCTTTTTTTTTAGCGGACTTTTCTGTTCTGTAAAGGATTTTTCTCTTCATATGAATTGATTCATTCACATAAATATAGAAAACATTTGAATAAATTTAGATCAAATAGACGAATCTATTATATATATCAATTTATATGATGGACAAGAGGATATTTCTTTTTGCCAGTGGACTTTTCTGTTCTGTAGAATATTTTTCTTTTCATATGAACTGATTCATTCAGATTAATATAAGAGAGATTTGAATAAATTTAAAGCAAATGGAAAATCTGTTATATATATATATATGTATATATGACAGATAAACTGATATTCCTTTTTTATTAGAACACTTTTCTGTTCTTTTGAAAATGTTTTTCTCTTGGGTGTGGGTCTTCGGTTTAAAATGTTTCATGAAAAAAGTCGTTTAATTGATATAAGTTTAAGTTTAAATAAAATTGAAAAGGATCTTTGGGTTCGTCTTATTGAATTAAAATGTCAAAGTAATATTATTCAACAAATTTGTTTAAATCAACAAAATCATTTAATTTCATTAAATGAAAAATTTCAACGATGAGTAAGTTATATAGAAAAAAATTATCTTGTTTCTAATAAAATAAATAAAATAAATTTTTAGGAAAAATTAATTGATATACTTGAAACAAAAGAAAATTTAACAATTGATTCAAAAGAATTATTAATAATATTAACCCTTTCAGTCCCAAATTATTTCTGCTGGTTCCAATTGAAGTATACCGTTAGATTAGCTCGTTTTACACAGAAACACATGAATGACTATATATCTCCTTTATAGATAGTTGGAGCGAATTCTAGAACACTCTTTATTATTTCTTTCCAAGAGAATACATACTAATTTATATAAATTATGTTACGTAAAATAATTATAAAACAGGTGTAGCTTTTTTGATACTATGGGATCCAAAGGGCTAAATAATTTTCATAATGATCGAATTATAATTGAAAATTCTCTTAATGAATATCAACTTCAACGTGAAATGTTATGTTTAAGAAAAGGTTGTGAAGTATATAGAGAAACAGCTAAATATTTATCACAACTTTATATATTATTAAGAGATTCTAATATTGAGTTAAAAATTCTAATAAAATTGTTTATGCAAATTGTAACAAATAATTTATCATGAAGGATTGAGTTTAGATATGATTAGTAAAGTTCAAGCAAAAGAAACTTATCTTCGTTGTTTTGAATCAATCTATTCTTATCTTTCATCAACTATGTCAAAAGATTATCTTCAATAGTTTCTTATTATATTTGCATTTATTAAACAAGATAATATTGAAAATATTCAATTATTTGAATTTATTATTAATAAATTAAATCCAATTAATCAAAAAATAATTCCAAATTGTCTTAATCAAAAAAGACCATCATTTATAAATAGTCATTCATGGTTATTTGTTTTTCTGATGAAATTAATAAAAAAATATCCCAATTTATTTCAAAATTTAATTAATTATCAACATGAATGAAAAGGATATTTATATTCAACAACTAAACTTGATTTTATTAATAAATCTCCATTAGAAAAAAAGCAGCAACAATTACTATTATTGATCGATTTATTCTCTCGATTATTTTACAACTTGAAAAAGTCTCTGGAAAATTCTTTTTTTTTAAATATTGTTTACTATTTCATTTATTTAGATTTCTGAATTAACTCGTATATTCTTGATTTATCATCATGATAGTCTCCTTCATGATAAATCGTTATCACCTATTGATGACGTTTATCGAATTACAAGGAGTGAAATTCTTAAACCGATGAATAATATAATCCTTGATTGAACAAGTTAACAAAAATATGATTGTTCATTAATAAAAATTATTCCATAAATTTTAGGTTCATCTACTTTTGTTGATTCAATTGATGAAATTCGAAATTTAGCCAATAAAACGAAACAATCTCTTTGACTTGTTTCATCAATTGATAAAAAACATCTTAATCGTTTTATTAAAAGTAAAAAAAAAGATTGTTGGTTAATTATAATAGACATAATTTTATTTAATGATAGTCTTTTACAAATTCGAGTAAAAATAAATTGAAAAATAAAATAAATTTTTTCAAATTAATCATTCTATTTTAGGACTTTATTTTATCATCAATTGATGATAAAATTTGGCGTATTTGTAATCCTTCATATGCATCTAAAGTACCGCGTAAGTTTTGACATATGTAGGCAGTTCAAGATAGTCTTGTTGTTGAACTTAATGATAAATGTATGGTACGTTGTCGAAATGAACCTGATCATTGGCCATTGTTTATTGATGTAAACAATCATTTAACAGCATTAAATCCTGATGTTCCAGATTTTCAACCCGGAAAAATATGGAAGAATAAAAATCAAAGTATGAAATCTAAAGGACGAAGATAAATAGGACCATTTTTCGGCTCTCCATGGATTTGAGATTTTTGTATCGGAATTGAGTTGCGAATGATATTTGATCATATTCCGTGGATCAAAATTGCGATATGCGACATCATGGTTTTGCAGGTCTGAGGTATCCTCAAGAGTTCGAGAAGGAAGTTTTTTCCTCAATTTTGATCTCAACACACCTAGATATATCAATGCGGATATGTTGATCACAAATATGATATTTATAATAAATAGAATTGTATTCCCTACAGGTATAACTAGCTCAATGTGGTGCTAGCGTGGGGCTTAATCTTTGAGTGAATCATGTTAAAAAACCGGCTGTTTCTCACTCAAAATTATAAGTTCCTGGTCAAAATACATGTGTAACGGTCTATGCTTGATTGTGCTCAGCCTATTTAGTTATGTAGCTAATGCTGTTTCAACGTGAAAGTTTGTGACAATAGGTAACTTTTGGAGCTTTCTTCAGTGATATTTTAAAGAGTGCAAAAAAAACACACAAGTCTCTAGAATACCGACAGCGCCATCGTGTTCTGCATGACGAGAAACCCATATATCCAAGTTTCCAGAAATTTTAGTTGATCTCATCAGTCAGGAGAACAAAGACTTCTTTTATCTGTATCACATGTTTTTTAGTATGAAGTCAGTTTTGTTATGCTTCACAGTGACCATACTTTGCTTCAAAAACTTCGATATATCGGTTTCTGGCCATGCGAAACACGATGGTGCTGTTGGTTTTCTAAATATCTGTGTGTTTTTTTGCTCGGATCTTCAGAAGTCTCATGGAAAATCTTGATGCACACTTTTTCGATTCTTTTTAAATTGCCACTGGACGGAGCTTCAAAAGTTACCTATTCTCACAAACTTTCACGTTGAAGCAGCATCGACTACGCAACTAAATACAAACACCTTTTCTCTTGCTCATTAACCCAGCTCTACCCCCAGGAAATACAATTCTATTTATCATGGATATCATATTCGTAATCAGTTTACCTGAATTGATATAACTATGTATGTTGTCATCGAAATTGAGGAAAAAAAAAATTTTCTCAAATCTCTAGAGGAAGTACTCCAGGCTCCAAAAACTATAATATCACTTATCGCATTTTTGATCCGTAGAATATGACCAAGCATCATCCGTAACTTGATTTGCATGCAAAAATCTCAAATCTATGGGAAGCCAAAAAATAGCATTATCCGCCCTTGTTCTTAAGACGCTTTTTTTTCAAGCTATTTTGAAATGTAGATAATCAAACATCTTTATTAGAAAAAGAAGAAACAAAACTAACATTGATTGGAATCATAAATCAACAAGACGTAAAAAACCAACAAAGAAAATAACACCAACGCCATCATTAAATCGTAAACATCATCAACAGAATCATGATCGTACAGGTGATTATACACCAGGAGCTAAAGTATCAGCTGAAGTAGCAAAAATTATTGATGATGATTTAAGATAGTATGAAGAAGAAGTATGGCATGATCGACCAAAACCATCAATTGAAAAAACACTAACTATAATAAGTCAAGAAGATATGAATGTTATACGCAATCAATCACAAACAAATACTGAAAAGAAACCAGTGATAATAATGATGAAGTAAAAGATCAAAATATTCAATTACAAACTGAAAAAGGTAAAAGTCTATAGACGTAAGATCTTTAGATGATTAATGGTGAGCATGATTATCGAAATTATGCAACAAGATTTGTTTGCAATCGTTTTTTTGTTGTCTTAAACACTAAAAAGAATGCGAAGAGTGCTTCGAATTGAGAAAATCATTTATTACAAGAATATAAGAAAAAATGATTAGTAAATTTCTAAAGGTGAGATCTTCAGAAAAGGATGAGCTATGAGTAGGACTCAATGAGGCTAAGAGAACCTTAAATAGATCCGGTTCGATGCATTATCTAACCAGAGTTATGACTGTTTTATTTTAGTTTTCGACCGCTGGACCAGTTATTCATGAAAAACTCTGAACTGAAATTCGTAGGATACTCTAGTAGCCAGGAGATCTGTTTATGGACGAGGCTGAAAATCTACTAAAACAGTCATAACTCTGATTGGGTAATGCACAGCTTCAAATTCTTCTAGGCGTTTTAGTTTCATTGAGTCCAACTCATAGGCAAACTATGTAGTCGGATGGTGCCCAACAGTTAGTTATGTTCCTTCGTAGACTAAAAAAATGTTGTAGAGAATTGTTTGTTCTATCGTTCTACTGAGTTTCGCGTTCTGGATGCTGAAAATTAAGGCTTTGGTTTTCTGGAGATCTCGTCTTTGGAACTTTGCTAATCATTTATCTTTTCGTAAAATGTTGTTATAGATTATTTTCTCCATTTCAAGAACTATTTTGATTTTGTTAAAGCATTTAAGACAAACGGAAAAGATTGAAAGCAAACTTTGTTTAGTCAAAATGTTGAAACACCATCGAATTGTTTACATTGTAATTGAGATTGTGAGTTATTACGAACCGTTAATATGTGTCCGTGATGGAAGATGTTGTGACTGATACTTTGAAAGTATGAAAGTAAACAATACCTGATCTATTGACCTTAGTCAAATTTCATTACAATTTCTTAGTCAACAAGCGACTCTAAGTTGTCTATTTTATCATCTATTAAACTCTAGCTATTTAGTAATAAGCATGATATATTCGATTCTTATAATTCTTTTTGTCTCTCTAAACAAAATAAATATTTTTTTGTTAAGAAAATAATCAATCAAATGTGACTAATGAAAAACAATCTCGTAGTCCAGCTATTACTATTATTCGTTCCAATAATTGTCCACCATTACAAGTTGAGCCATTCTATCATCTTAAGCATTTATCTACTAACAATCAACAAAATCTTTCATGTTTACCAACAAATGATTTTATATCTTAATCATTATCAAATAATCTTCGACAATTAAATGAGAATAATTCTGATATTTCAAATATCGATGCAAATAATAAACAACAAACATCTCTAGTCTTAAACGTAAAACACGTCATAGTGAACATCCATCAATAGAAAATTCAGTTGGTTGGGTTTTTGATTGATGTAGTCATCCAACTACAAAACAACGAAGCAATACAGTGACTAGTACTACGTAAGATTTTTTAATTCTTTGTATTCATTTCAAGTGAATATTTTCAGACGGAGGCAAAAAGGTGAGAAATACAGTATTTCTGACCTTTTCCTTAATGATTCTTTGATTTGTTCTACTACCCATTTCAACATATAATGTGTTCCACGGTTTTTTGAATAACTGTTGATAGGAATAACATAGAGCCCTGTAGTTTTTACCATCCAAGAGAAAAGACTCGAGGTCATCGAAATTTGATTAGTCAGCAATCGATCAATCAAACTTCGATGGCCTCGAGTCTTCTCTCTAATAGTGAAAACCGCAGGTGTCTATGATATTTCTATCAAAAGTTACTCAAAAAACAGTAGAGCATTTTATATTTTGACATGGATAGTATTATCCATTTCAAAATAAAGTAGACTCGGTTATTTGTTTAATAACTTGCAACGCTGATAGCTATCGAATCGCGATTTTCACCGTTAGACAGAGGGTGACTGAGGGTACCTGTATAGCTGACAGTTAATGAGCTTTGAAAGTTTTATAGAAGTTGTGCAAGTGCTTTTTTTTATAAAACACTGAATGGCTCTTTCGATTACATAGATTCTTAATTTCAATTTAGCCAAATTGAAGCCGAGCATCTGCTCTATAAACGCTGAAAGTTTTTAGACTTCCCCTCATGTGTCTCTGAAATACAAGAAAAAATCTCCTGAAATCAAATGATGCTAAATTTTCAATTTTTTTTGTCTCAGACAGGGTGTGGGCGTATGGGTGTTGGTGTGGGTGATGCGTGTGTGGGTGTTTGTGTGGGTGGTGGGTGTGTGGATGTTGGCGCGGGTGTGTGCGGGTGGGGTGGCGGGTGTCGGGTGTGGGTCTGGCGTGGGTGGGGTGTGGGTGTGGGTGGGGTGTGAGTGTGGGTGTGGGTGTGGGTGTGGAGTGTGAGTGTGGGTGTGGGTGTGGGGTGTAGGTGTGTTTTTGATAAAAAAGCGAATTAACAATGTGATGAAGCAAAAAAGAAGACCGAAGAAATATTGACAATAAATAAATAAATAAATTAATAATTATAGAAATAGACAAATAAATTTATCAAATAAATGAAAAAACAAATGAAGAACTCTTTTAGAAATATGAATAAGCAAATAAATTATTTTTTGTTTTAGTTTTTAAGTTTTGTTTTAGTTTTTTTGTTTTAGAATTTTAAAGAATTTTAAGTGTTTTTTGTTTTTTGTATACTTTTTGAAAAAACTGGGTGTGGGTGTGTGGGGTGGTGTGGGTGTGGGGTGGTGTCGGTGTGGGGTGTGGGTGTGGGTGTGGGTGTGGGTGTGGGTGTGGGTGTTGATTCCCTTTCCAGCTACGGCCTATACCCACACGCACACGCAGACTAACACCCACACCAAAACACCCACACCCACACCCACACCCCATACCCCACACCCACACCCACACCCACACCCCACACCCCACACCCACCCACACCCCACCCCCAGAATTATCTGTAAGTATTTCATAACAAACTATATTTGTTGAACAGAAGTCGTCTCTCCTGAACGTCTACAACAAAAACAGCCTTTTTTTTACAGTATTCAAACTTTTCTAGCAGATGCGTTTTATAAAGCATCATTTGAGGCTCAGATAAGAAGATAAATCAGGTCTTTACAAAATTCTAGAAAAATGAATTTGATCTGGTCATAAATATCATTTTTAGAAAACTTGTTCTGAAAACCAGTATCTTGCCGGTGAAAAAGTCACCTTTTTCAAAATATGGCATGCTGTCTAATCAAAAGAATGCGTTTTAGAAAACATAGCATTACATGTAATTGATAGAGGCTCTCGAGTGCTGTCCAGCAGTGGTTGACGTTTTGAAAACTAAATACTTCTTAACAGGAAAATAATACACTACTAAAAATTGTGTGGGACATAGATACCATTCAGTGTATAACATGACGCAACCTATAAATTTTACTTGTTCCATCGCTTTCAATCAAAGCTAACATGAATTTGTAGAGAATTAAATTCTCTATCTTCTGACAGGAAAGTTAGGATCATATATTATTTATCTGCTCGAATATTTGTAAAAGGAAAAATGTTGCAAAACTTTTGCCGCACCCGATATGCTAGCTGTCGCGCTGAAAATTACAGTTTATATGATACTCGATAAATGTAGATCAGCGGTGAAACCCGCAACCCAAAAGAATGAGTCACAAAAGAGTTATTCGCAAAACCATCCATGATCATTGTAGACTCTGAAAATTCGCGATAACAAAGTCCTTTGAACTCGAGCTTTCGCCATTTTAAAGCTCTATATAATAGCTATCTCTGATGAAAATTTCATCAACATTCATTGAACCTTTGTTAAACTAGACGCATTTTACTAAAGACATGGGTGACATGACAAACCGTCAGTAAGCAATGTGTTCGTCACATTTCAGTCTGGAATCGATATATAGACCTGAAATTTATAGTATAGAATACTCTATTAATATGCAGCATTCCCTAAAATTTTCAGACTTATTTCACTAACTGGAGGGAACTGGCGCTATGCTAAAGATGTAGATGTTGTCACATGTCTAGGTATTCAAATACTCAAGCAAATAGCCTCATATTTGGAGCATATAAACAGCATATCTAGAGGCGGAATTCTATCGAAAAATAATCATAAAATTCGCAAGGGAACACTGGAAATGAGAGATGAACTTTCTTAGTCATTTTTTTCACCATAGAAACCGTGTTCTATTATTGCTTCAAGTTGTCTGAATAGTGAAAACAAAAAAATGATTATTATCACAAAATGAAAATTAATTCTTACCGAACTGTAATTGGAATAGTTGTTTTTTTGCCAATTTCATGTTCATAAATATTTATACCATTACGCATAAGAACATATTGATTTCGTAATTTTTCAGAAGCATTTTCTGATAAACGTGGTCTACATTTACTAATCAAGAAAATATTTTTGATTTTGTCAAAATTTTCAAAAAAAATCAAACTATTTTACCTTCAACAATAAGTAATATATTTTTTTAATTTTTGTATACTCATATCATCAGTATTTATAATATTCATATGAATATTAATAACATGTTTAGCTAATGTCTAAAACAAGAAAATTAAAATTTCATTATCTTGTTAAATTTTAAATTGATAATTTCTTTTCTGTACTCTCAGATGAAAAAATACGAGCCATTTTCGACCGGAAAAATCATAGGAGTCCAATGAACGGATTCTTGTTTTACTTTCTTAAGTTTTAGGACCAGAAACGGTCTAAATTTCTTGAAATAATTTTTTACTAGAGAGTAGATCGCCTACGCGAATGATTCACATAATTCTTTTTGAGTACTTAGTCTTGTGATTCATGCCCTTCGTTCTTAAAGGACTTTTGGCCCGTGACCTCTAAAATAGAAAAGCTATGTTTTTTTTTAATTAGCTGTCAGATATCGTAGTGCTGAGTAGGCCGCCATAATACTTAGAGTGTGTTTTCTTTTTACATTAGCAGTGGCAATCTCACATAATGTATTCACATTCCGGAACTTCGCATCAGCGCCTACACACCCACATCCAATTACTGCTGATGTAGAAGAGATCCATTCTCAACACTATGTCATTGCGCTCAACGCTATATCGTCCTGCTCACCATCATGATATCTCGCAATTAATTAAGCAAATTGGATTTTTTTTAATTTTAGGAATTAACTAGGTCACGAATCGAAATTTTAGTCTCCCCTGATATACTCTTCTTGAGGATTAGGTTGACTGATAGAACTTATATTGGACTGATACTTAGATAATATTCAAACGTGGTTTTCAAAAATTCAATTAGGTGAAGTCTTCGTTTGGCTCAGTACGACTCTAATTCTAGTAAATTTTTACAGAAAAATCGACATTGAGATAAATATATAGGAAGATGACCTGAGGTTTAATTTTTTTTATTTAGCTTTGTTCTTCGCATAAAAAAAAGACACTGTAGTCCGACATGTCCTTTCAAAGAAAAAGAAAATTAAATCTACAAAATGAGGGTCCATAGAGGATGAATTTAACATTTGTTTTCTTTTTACCTTCAATAACAAAATTTTTCGAATTTAGATCTCGAATAACACTTGCCGTAAGACCACCTGCACTATTATCTTTACCACTTGTATAAACTCCAATAGGTGCAACTTTGTTAATAAATTTTAATAATTGTGATTTAGCAGTACCAGGATCACCAATAAGTAAAACATTAATATCACCACGACGAATTAAACCATCGGGTAAACTAAAACAAAACAAAAAAACTATTAAATCTTTCCTCTTAATTGAACTAACCGTTTTCTTGAACCATCAAAAAGTAAACAAGCAATAGATTTTTTTATATCATTTACATCATAAATTGATGGTGCAATACTATTTGAAATAATTTCATAAATATTCGATGTATGTAAAAAACGTATAAATTCCTCTTCTTCTTCTTCATTTGATGTTAATGTTTGAGTTGATGAACGTCCAATACCATTTGTATCAATACGAATACCAAGTACACGTATGTATGGTTGACGTATACCAATATTTAATTTATCCTTCCCTTGTATCTTCAAAATAAAAAGTAGATGATTAAATAAAATTTTTTTTTTTTTTCAAATTTACTTTATTCATTGGAATATTTCGTTTAATACAATAAATACCAACAAGTATAATTTTATTACCTGGCATTACACGATCAATAAGATTACTTAAAAGATATAAAAAGAATTTTCTTAATGAATATTTTTTCAATATAAATTTTACCGATCACAATAAATATTGACATTTATCAGGCATAATAAAATATGGATCAATTGGACATGATAGTTGACCTGGTTGAGTTCTATAGAAATTTTCTACAAAAAAAAACAAATGGCAAGTAAAGGGGGTGGTCCAGAAGTCCGGACTCGATTTGGATAATAAATTTTTTTTATATTAAAACACATACTTAAAAATTCGTCCCTATAAAAAAAAGATGCAGTAAAAGAAGCTCTAGAAAATAATCTATGACTGATTCATATAGTAAGAAAGTTATAAACTTTCAAGAATACATAAAAAATCAACAATCTAGTCTTCGACACTGTATTCAGAACGAAATTGGAAAACGAATCGACATTTTGCTCGTGCCGACAAGTAGAGAAGAGAAGTTACATCTAACAAAAACAAAACAAACTTGACCTATAAATCTTTTGTTTCGATGAAGTTATAGGACTTTTACTAGAAGTATCAACTTATAGACGAGATTCGTGGTTAATTTTTAGTTTTTGTAATGCATATTTCTAAGTTTATAACTTTCTTACTATATGAATCAGAGAGAATCAGTCATAGACTATTTTCTAGAGCTTCTTTTACTGCATCTTTTTGTGTACGCAAAAAGTGAGTACACTCTAGAATCGGTCAGTGTGTCCGGCCGTCCGTCCGTTTACACGATAACTTTTGAAAGGAGAGTCCGATCACGATGAAATTTTCTACACAGCTTAGTCTCAACAATATCTCGGTCAAGTTCGAAGATGAGAATGATTGGCCGAGCCATTCCTGAGTTATTGCAAAAATAGTCATTTTTCCCTATGCTTCCCTATGCGAAGATCGACCTATCTCCGCTTTCGTAAAAAACTTTTCGTATCATAGTCAAATAAAACCCCAACTATTATATACCATTCGATAGAGAATTTTACGAGCTACAAAATGGTATATAAAACATAAGGAAACAAGAAAGCCAACTCAGCTATTGCAAAGATAATTAAACGGAATTCGGTTCTGTTTTTGTTCACGCTCTAATTAATCCACAAATAGAGCTCTATCTTCCGATCACAGAGATAATAGTTCGAGATTTTCTGGGGTGGAGAACTCGAATCTGTGCTCCATTCGCCTCGAAATCCCATTGGTTGAACAGTAACCAATAGAAATCAAGTTATAGGAAAAACGACTTTGTTAGGGTAAATCAAGGTGAAGAGTTCAAATCTGAGCTGTATTCATCCACAAATCCTATTGGTTGAGCAGTAGCCAATAGAAATCAAGTGTTCATAGATAAGGTTTGCCAGGATAATTTTTATGTCCCCACATTCTAGAACGACTCATCTGTCTCATTCACTTTTTGAAGTACACATAACTCTCGGATTTAAATCCGAGGTTTCCACATTTTTTATTATACAAATTGAGTCAGGACTTATGGGTCACCCTTTATTACGATATGTATATTTTCAAATGTTTGCCCTCCAGACAAATACAATTACAAAAACTAATCATGTCATTGACTTTCTAAGCCAATCTGTCATCATAATTTATCAATGCAATTCAGGTCAACATACCCCTGAAAATTATCATCGTCTTAGAAGAATTTATATGCAAATGGAAGTGTAAGAGATTAGACAGAGTAGTAAAATTTATTATAAACGAGTTAGTTTTTTTAAAATTTATTATGATTTCATCGAAATTTTCAAGAGACGATGATTTATTTAAGTTAAGCTGACATTGTTTTTTGTATGTTAATCCTTTACCCCCCATAGCGGTTCCAGAAGAGCCACTGATAAAATAACTTTATAAATAAAGTATGAGCCTCTCTAATATGCTAATGATGTGATCTAATCCACCGAATGTTCTGCTCGATAGATTCAGCAATCATGTGATGGAAAAAGGGAATTAAACAACACCATGAGACTTGAATGTTTTTTTTCTTTAATCACACTATTGAGTGGGCAAAAGCAACATATATCTCGTGCTTTAGAAATAATAGGAAAAGAGACAGTTGTAAACTGATAGAAATTAATACTAAAGAATGCATGCGTTTTTTTACATGTGTTGTCAAATGAGAGTCGTTTTTGCTCTAAACCATTTTATGATCTCAGAAAAAATTTAATTTATAATAAATACTATTTTAACTTGTCATGAATTGAGGTTTATAATGCATATATGAACTTTGTTCTTGATTGTTCTCCATCTGCCCAATAATGTGTCTGAGTATGCGTAATTCGTTAAGTTATCATGAAACTTTTGAAATATATTTTATTCATTAGTAGACTTCTTCATCAATTAATATCGGAGAGAAATTTCAAAAGATCTCTATTGCCTATGGATATAGAATATTTTATTTGAAAAATTTCAATTTTTTTTCAAAATTATCGATTTTGAAGGTCCGATATTTCAAAGACGGAGTAATGAAAAAAAAACACTCTTTTTACCAATTGATAGTCCCTGATGTTTACTACAAAAAAGGTTCTTATCGTTTTTAAATCTGACGTTTCCTTTATTTTCTCCAATATTTCTAAAAATGGCAATTCCAGTTGTCAATGAAGGAGGTAAAGGGTTAAAATTTGAATATTTTATTTTAAATATTTCAAACTGAATTTTCCGTCTTCTTTGTATTGATCTAACAAAAGACAATCGAAAGCATTATATTGAATATTTTTTTTCTTCGAAAGATTTCGATTAAAACTATTGGTGAATTTTTTAATACTTACATACTATTACATTTTCTTCGTATTGCATAACCTTCTAAACCAGGTTTAACTTTAATATTTGAAACAATATTTCGACATTGTATAGCAATATATGAAGCTTTTGTTCTTATACTACTTGTTGCAACAACAATACCAATAGTTTTTATCAATCCAATATCGTTGACTATTATAATTTCTTCGTAACATTTCACTTCAAAAAGAAAAGAAAGTCATACAACAATTTATATAAAAAAGAAAAGAAATTCTCTCAAATCAAAATTCTTTTTTTTTGCCGATAAATAAATAGATTATTTATATGAAATTCTCTAACAAACATTTCAAATTTTTTTTTAATCAATATTCGATTAAATTCATTTTCATATTCAAAATTATCCGAAAAAAATATACCATTATTATCAAATCCAGCCATCTAGAAACAATAATTTTTTTCATTTTAACTAATTGAAATATTTCTTGTTTTTAAATATATCATCTGTTTTTGTTTTTCTTCATCTTGCGTATTTTTTGTTTTTTGTTTTTTTTTCTATAAAAGAATGTTACACACACACTCCACTCAATCTTTGTACACACATATAGAAGGAAAAGAAGAGAAAAAAAAAAAAAAAAAGAACTGTACGAGTGCGTGTATGGTTTAGGATAATCCAACGCGGTAAATAAGCGATATTTGAGAACGCATCTTCTACATATGCAAAAAAAAAAAAAGAAAAATTGTTTATATGAACAGAAACGAAAGTGAAAGAAGACAAACAAAAAAAAAAAAAAAAGAAAAAAAAAAGAAACACTCTTCCGCTTTTCAGAAATAAATAATAAAGTATACAATGTCTTTTAGTGTCTCAATTTTTTTTTCTTTCTTTTTTTTTTTTTTTGTTTTTCTAAATTCTTCGGACACGTTCAGCTTGTACAACAGGCATATTTTTACGAATTTCATTTTGACCATGTTCTTTATAATCAAATGTGCAATTATGTTCATTTGCATAACGATGTACTGGACAAAATTGACCACCACAACGACAATCAAAGCCTAAAAAGAGAAATTTAGAAAATTTATTTTTTTTTTAGAAATTCATAGGTCTACTTTTGAAAAAAGAAAAATTTTTTTATCAGTATGGAAACCAAAACAACTCGTCTTTACATATAACTTTATTAGATAGAATTTTGAGAAAAAAAATGTCATTCTCAAGTGATTCACTACAACAAATTGAATATCTCTTGTTTTTTCCTTATAAATCTTTATTTGAATAAATAATTCTTACCGGTTAATCCAAGTTTTTTATTACATGATGGCCATGTACATCGATTACGTTTTTTCTTATCAACACTCGATGCTGTTAATGGTGACGTTGAATCAGCTCCTATGACGAAAGAAAAAGAAAAAAACAAATAAATCTTTCTAAGTACAACAAAAAACACTACCTAGTGAACTTGTTTCCATAACTGAAAATGATATATTAGAATCGGTTTTTCCCGGTATATCAATATTTCTTGAAATAGTCATTGGCATTGTGGGAGCAGATACAACACGAGTAATAGGACTAGTAGATGAATCATTTATAGATTGATCATTATTTGATTTCGTTGTTTCTAATTGTTCTTCAGTAGCCAAAGGTGATTCACTGTTATCATCATCCATTTTATTCACTGTTTGATCAATGGCAGTAGTAGTATTAGTAGTCGGAAGTTCATTATCTTCATCCATATGACCAACAACTTCATCTTGATCATCTCTCATTTGCTGTTCATCATTAGTAGATGTGTTAGGTAGAAGTGTTTGAGATGATGATGATGATGATGTCGTTACAGAAGTATTAGAAGAAGTATAAAAACCTTTACAAAAAAAAAACGTTTTTTTGTTTTCTTTTTTACAAAAACAAAAATTTCAACATACTATTACATGAATTTGTTCTTCCAGTGGTTAATGAACGATTGACATGTTCACGATAACATTTAGAACACATTCCTTCGAACTGTGATGAACCATAAAAACCACAATTATTTGTACAAAATGTTGGATTCGATTCGGGTTGCTCCATGTGGTGTTCAATGAATATATATATATATATATGATGAACAATGTCTATTGGATTTCAAGTATGTGTACGGGCAGCAGCTGAACGTAGTTTAATGAAAGAATATTCTATATATATATATATAAATATCAACAATTTTTTGTAATTTCAAATTATAAGAGAAATAACTTACTAAATACAATAGATGATGAAATCGAAATGAGAAAAATCTAGAATACCAGGAAAAAAAACGCAAAATTTATGACTTTTAAACGAAACTACATTGTTTCTATTTATTCAGTGAATCGACATATGGGCGAGGTGTGGGTGTAGCATAAGAGGAATGAATCATGCAAAAAAGTTGGAATATAGACGTAAAAAGAAAAAAGAAAAAGGAAGAAAGAACTTTTTCTTTTTTTGTCCTGCTCTTGAAGTCATAGTGCGAAATAGCAACAACGAAACGAAAACAATCTGAAATTTTTAGTTATTTTCAATCAAGGTCATAGAATATAAACTTGAACACTTTTATATTCTATTAAATTGTATTTAAAATCTTTATCATTAAATGATAACAAAAAAAAAGTAAAAAATAAGAAAACAGAAAGATTAAAATAGTTTTGCAAGATAAATTGTTTTTCTTTTTTACTTCTTTGTTTGTAACATAATAAATTCTTTTGACGAAAAAGAAAAACAAATTTGTTTATTAATTTTAATATGGCATAACTCACGTCGGTTCAATGATGCGGAATATTGGAAAAGAAGGTTGACGCTGTACTATACGTATGAGAACGAATGTATATAAAAAGATAAAGACAGCGCAAAAAAAAACACATTTTAATCACATGTGATCAACCATTTGATAGATAGATTTACCTCCATCATGATGTTAGTTCAATGACAGAAATCTAATAATTCATGTATTATTTAAAATTATGTCAAATAATAATGAATAAAATCAAATAAAAAATAAAGATAAAAGTTATAAATTGATTTTTAAGTTTTTTTATTGAAATGAATTGGTAGGTAAGATAATTTAACTATTCAAATGAGGTCGCAATATATCGATCGATCATCGATAGAGGGCAGTACTAATCAACAAACTAGGAAATTCAAAGAAATCAAATGGGATTACATATGACAATATTTCAAACTTCCTAATTTTAGAATAAAGAATTGAAAAAATTCACTATGTGAAGTTCCCGAATAAGAATTCTATATGTCATCTGTCTTAATAACTCTTTTAGTGGTGTTGTACGTCTTAGCCATTGTAAGATGCACATAATGCAAAAGTTGAGTAGAAAATAAATCTAGATGAATTATATATCAATCGATAGAGTTTTTCATGCTCATTCAGAATATATATTTTTCCAATTTTCAGATCTCACCTGTAAAACTCAGAAAACGGCTTTTTCACCATTAATTTTAAAATTTATGTATCTTTGATTAGAATTTTTCAACAAAAGTATTTTATCTAAATCGAACACATAAAATTGTAATATTTAGATGAAATTTCATCAATCTTGTGACTTTTGATTGGCTTGCCAAGACCTATCTTGTATATTATCGAGAGTCCTGCTTTGTAAATCTATCTCCTTTTTTTCTGTGAGAGCTAAAATAATCTTTTTTTAAGTATTTGAACCATTAGATCAATAAGAAATTATGCTCGTAATCTTGAGTTTTAGAGTTATTAAGAAAATTCACTTTTCCTACAAACATGGCAAAAAAACGCTCGAAAACAGGATCATTTTTTCGAGTTTTATTTCAAACAAATTATTTTCTGATATTCGAAATTAGCTTAAAAAATCACGTTGAATAAACTATAATTTGCTAGAAAATATTTTCTATCGAAATTTCGCCTGTGATCCACCTCAGCTATGCTTTCCCTCAATATTATCCTGAAGGGGAGTGCAAATGCGATTTTGATGGAAAATATTTTCTGGCAAATTACAGTTTATTCCACGTGATTTTTTGAGCTGATTTCAAATATCAGAAAATAATTTGTTCGAAATGAAACTCGAAAAAATGATCCCATTTTCGAGCGTTTTTTTGCCATGTTTGTAGGAAAAGTGAACTTTCTTAATAACTCTAAAACTCAAGATTACGAGCATAATTTCTTATTGCTCTAATGGTTCGAATACTTAAAAAAAAAGATTTTAGCTCTTACTGAAAAAAAGGAGATAGATTTACACAGCAAGACTCTCGATAATATACAAGATAGGTCTTGGTAAGCCAACCAAAATTCACAAAATTGATGAAATTTCATCTAAATATTACAGTTTTATGTGTTCGATTTAGATAAAATACTTCTGTTGAAAAAGTCTAATCAAAGATACATCAATTCTAAAATTAATGGTGAAAAAGCCGTTTTCTGAGTTTTACAGGTGAGATCTGAAAATTTGAAAAATATATATTCTGAATGAGCATGAAAAACTCTATCGATTGATATATAATTCATCTAGATTTATTTTCTACTTGACTTTTGCATTACGCGCACCTTAGTTCTCTCGAACTCTACGTTGAGACACACACCTTTTAGTTTCCAGGTAACTTAGATGAATGTGGTTTTCGACGAAGAAATCAACAACAGCTGAATACACATTCAATGTTCCTTGAAAATTCTTTTCTTTGTGTCTGGTTCCAAGAACAGCTTTGCATATCTCTTGTAAAAAAAAAAAAAGAACATACAACGACATATGTTTTCTTCAATTATGAATGAATTCTTTTGTATGAACAAAAGAAAAAAAAATGTCTAAATTTCTAGAAGAAAGTTGTAAAAGTGAAGACGTTTTTTAATTAATACATAAAGTGCTTTGACTGAGTATATTCTTATTTTAGAAACATTTGTTCATGTGTAACTCGTGAAAATATGTATTATGTTAATTAAATTCTATCATAGTGGAAACGTTTTTTTGTTCTCTTATTATCAAAAGTCTAAAAATTCCTTTTTAATATGTTTCAATAAAGCACTGAAGTAACTCTATAATATGTTTCTACTAAAGCGCTCTTTGCTATTAGTTTTTTTAACCTAGAGCTGACATATTGCTAAGACGATGGAAGCAAAATATTGCACTTACTGAACTTAGATGTGAGAATAGCTACATATACTTAAGAAAAAAGCAATAAGCTGTGAAAATTATGTGAAAAAACATCGATTTTTCAGAGTTGGAGGTTTTCTAATGTGTCGAAAGATTTAATATAAGAATTATATTTCAGATCGAAATTCAATTATTTATTGTTTTCTCAATATCTTATTAACAGCTAGAATTCCATTAAAATGGTAGAATTTTACAAAACAAATTCATATATATCGATATTTTTATTTTCGTCTTATAAAGATTTATTTCTACTAATCGTAATATTCGAAAATATGAATAAAATTTAATTAATCTTTTTATTGTTTTGT